ACCCCGCTCGGATGGGGTTTCTTTCGATAAGGGTTTTGAAAACGACCTTCTGCTCATAAACTGCAATCGTTGCGTTTCACTGGTTCATTTCAGGTTCTCCAAGTCTTCTTAGCTAAAACGAAGGCCATGGCGGCCCCCATCGTGGAAATACACCAGCTCGAAGCGGAGCTCTTGAGAGATGACGACGATGAGGATGCTGAGACTCCAGAGAATCTCCTTGTTCAAGGAGAAGCGGTTGGAGGCAATGCTGTGGCGACTTTGGACGACTTGTTCCAGCACTATGAGCTTGCTCCGGTTGCCAGCACACCTCCGCGGTTTGAGCAGCTCCCCTGGCCCCTAGCTGAAGCAAAGTCTTTCTCTGGAGCTGGAGCGGTTGGTGCGCCCCTCCTGCGCGGCGAGTTTGTGTCGGACTTTGTGCAGATCAGGCAGTTCAAAGAGACGTGCTTGGCACAATTGCGGGTGCGTTACTTTTTCAAATTTCTCGGTGTCAGCATCTTGCAAAGCCACATAAGGTTCTCAAATATCTGAAGCCTTGGAGGGAGCACCAAATGCATAGACGGGCAGCAATTTTCTGAGAAGTCTTGCTTTTATTGGTCATAAATTGAAGATCTTTTGTTCGAACAACTGGAAAGTCAGAGAGTCTTTTTATTGCAGGACATCCAGGATTTGGTGGACTCTTGTCTCAAAATTTCACCACAACCGGTCGACATAAGGTACAACCCTTGGCTAAGTTCCTTCCATGGTGGCGTTATGTTGTGTAGACTGATTCAGACCCTGTTTTCAAGTTTGCTTGGAACATAAGTCCCTGCGCTTTGGTGGTTTCCTTTGTTCCGCCTCGGAATTGCCTCCCTATGGCGTGATGCGCTTTGCTTTCAGGACTTGTTGTAGCTCAGAACTGCTGCTTGAGCTCAAATGTTGAATGAACAGCGCGCATATCCCAGCATTTCCGTTCGCAACAAACCTCTTTCTTTTGATTTTCCCGTTCTTTTCTAACTTCTTCTATCCCATTGTCTTGCAGCTGCCACGAACTACAAATGCAGCCGGTTGAACAGATACTGCAAGAGATGCTCACTCATGATTTGCAAGTAAGGCAGGCCACTTCCCTCAAAAACTTGCTGGAAGGTATGGCTAATGCACTTTTGATTGCTTCTGTGGATGTCAGAAAAGTTTTACAGAAGGTTACAGAAGGCAACATCTTCTTTCTCTGGCCATGGCGTCCACATTTTTGTTATACTTCTGTGTATCCGTTGGTTTGTTCCCTCTCTCTTTCTTCCCAAGTGCTCAGCGTTACACAAGAATGGGAATCTGTCAATAAGTTGCACAAAGATGAAATTCTGTCAATGAGTTGCACGAAGATCAGATCATGCTTGTTCAGAGGTCAGAACTCAAGAATGGTTTGGAGTTGACTTCCTTCTTTGTATGTCATCGAGATTGTCCTGTTCTCCTCTTTGGTCCAGGCTCTGCATGCTCATGGGAGAGCAGGCAGCTTCGTGAAGCGCCCTCCCTATTCCGAACGCCAGAAAAAGAGGGCAGAGACATCCCCAGGAGAAGAAGCCAATGGGACTGGCCCCAGCGCTGCCCTAGATAGTCAGCTTTTCTTAGGCTCCATGGAATTTGAAGAGTTAAAATTCCAAACGGGGGATGCAGCAGATCTTAGGCAAGCAGTTGAGAACGGAGGACTAGGCGCCTCCATGCAGCAAAAAGCTTCACAGGAAGCTCTAGACTTTACAGGAGCGACCCCAGCGCCCTCCGTAGACCCCTTGACCCTTTTACTAGGCGATGCAGACATCCAGTCACCAGAGCGAGAGTCAGGTGACGTTCTTCTCAGCAGAGCCGAAGCGCAATCTCCGGGGCGAGAATCCATAGACTCCCTCTTGGAAGCACTGAAACCCCCACCAGATCTGGCAGATACTTTCCCCACATTGAACCAAGATCATGCGATTGAGCCAGAGAACCAGTTGGGCCAACCCTTACAGAGTCCTTCACTATCAGCGCTTAGTGCTCCCAAAACAGAGGGGATAGAGTCACTTGCGGACTTAGGAGTTTCGCACAGTCAGCAACCTATAGTCGCAGCCAGCATGCACGAAACTGTTCAGTCAGCACCACTGGAAGATCGGACAGCGGCCGGCTTGCCAGCCGAGGGTTCACCAGCACAGTCGTTACGCTCCCTGGGAATCAACGAGCTTGAACCAGCTTTCGAAAACGGACTGGAGATGCGCTTAGAAGCAAACGATTTTGCGGTTCATAGTGGGGGGGAAGGCACAGACCCAGCACAAGCCCCCCAGAACGGAACACAGGTGCATAGCCAAGCCAACGGCGCTGCAGTTCACGGTGGGGGGGAAGGCACCGAGCCAGCACAAGCCCCCCAGACCGAAACACGAGCCAACGGCTTACCAGGGGGGCAAAACTCGGCAGCGAAGCAGAAAGAGAAGCAGAAAAAAGAGGCGCAGCGGAAGGAGAAGCGGAAGGCGGCGAGACAGGCAGCGCGCTCCGGGCGGCTCCCCCAGGCAAGCGGATCGCTGAAGTTTGAACTGGCCAGTTTGCGGTGCAGCCGCCCGATTTGAACGTAGTCAACTTCAGTCTTGCAGCCTTTGGCAGCCCTGGGGCTTGAATACAAGGGTTTCGCAAAGGGTTTGGGGCATAAGAGGACCCACTTTCCAAGAACAACGTATCTAGAACGTCCAAAATTTGACGACGAAAGGCAGACATCATCTGCGGTATCCCTCATCGATTATGATCTCTGCCCTTCGCCTGCAAGGATCGTGGGGCGAAACAGGGCAAAAGCTTCCAAAACCACCAAATCTGGAGCGTTATTCTTAAAGAACGGAAGAGGCACAGTAGCGTTACGATTTTTGCACTATCCTTCATTTACTGCAAACTTCTGCGCTTCGGCCTGCAGAGATCGTGGGGCGAAACAGGGCAAAGCTTCCAACCCCACCGAACCTGGAGCGCCATTCTTTGGCAACGAAAGAGACACAGTAGGGATGCAATGTTTGTGCTATCCTTCATCCATAGTGAACTTCTGCGCTTTGCCTGCAGGGATCATGGGCGAAACAGGGCAAAGTTTCCAACACCAGTGCATCCGGAGCGCCACGCTTTGACAACGAGAGAGACACAGTAGCGATACGATTTTTGTGCTACCCCTTATCCATTGCGAATTTCTGGCTCTGCCTGCAGGGATCATGGGCGGAGAACGGGGCGACCCAGGGGATGCTTGCGACGCTGGCAGAGTGGAGAGTGTACCGGGAGAGGATGCGGAACAAGGCGCCGCTGCGCTGCATACGGTACGAAGAGTTTGGTTGTGGCTTCGAGTTTAGGCTTCTGATCACTTCCTCTAGGCACGGCATTATTGGTCCTCAATCCGTTGATGTCGTCTAACTCAAAAGGTGCTGTCAGTCTGCCATCTGTTGTTCTGGAAGAACATACTTGTGAGTTGTTTGAAGATTGTATAGCACCGTCCTGCAGCATCGGATCCTCCTCGCTTAGGCGGTCGTCGGTCTCCTGAGATTTTCTAAGCCCCCTGCTAAAGTTCTGGTTGACAATGCTACCGCTCTTCCCGGACGAAAGGCGACCGCATAACGGCAGACGACTGCGACTCCTTGCCAAGGTTTGGAAACCACGCCGTTTCTTCCTTTGGGGGGGGGGGGATCATTCAACCCTCCAACCAGCCCCTTATTTCTTCTAATTTCCTCCCCTTATTCGACAAAGTACTGACATCTCCTTACCCTCGGTCCTGCAGGGACTGTCCGGAAGATCAAAGGGCCGCCGTCTCCTACAAGAAGACGCACTGCTTTACCCAGGTAACACTTCATTCCTTTCTCATCTGTCTTTATACCCCGCTGCCTGTTGCAAGAGCAACAAACCGTGACGTTCGTTGGTTGCTTATATCCAGGTGTCCATTGAGTCAATTGGGGCGAATTTTGAAGCCATGCGCTGTTAGCCAACGTGTTGACAAATTCCAGAAGTCTGATGGGCCGCTACCCCCCTGCTAGCAAAACGGAGACATTAAGAAAACGTACTGATTTACCAGAGAGCAACTACAAGTCGGCTGGTCTGAATCTTAACAGATATGAAAAAACTGGTCTAGACTTGGTAGTATAGCTGTGTTGGAAAGAGTTTGTTTCTGCTAAGAAACAACATTCATAAACCCATGGAGGTCATTCAAACCTGGTTTCCTGCACTCAGTGGGTGGTTCTTACGTTCGAAGTCGGCTGCTCTCTTGGACCGCAGGACGATATGTTCCCTTCGTGCGCCGAACCAGTTCCGCCGGAGGTCGTGATCATCGGGCGCGTCTTTGACGCCAGCAACAGGAACACCGGGGCAAGTCCAAAGCGTTTGCAAAGTGGCTGATTGAATGATATCCTCCACCGTTACAAACTTCTTTTGCACGAACTCGACAGGTAATTGGCAAGTATCACTCAAACGCCGGGTGGATTTAGCTGCAATCCTGCTTGTTTGGCTCCTTCATGAGGTTTGTGGAATCGTTCGCGCTTTGACAGGCGCAGAGGCCTGTCTCTGTCCAGGTCGGTATTACCCACTGCCAGCTCATCTGAGCGCTTCAAGTATGTGCCATCGAGGTCCGTCAGCGCGCCTCGGCTTAATCGTACGGCGTTTTGACAGTTAACAATCTCTCATTTCAGGGTCGGAAACCTAGTCTGATAATGAAACCTCCGCCTCGCTTCCTGTACAGTATCAAGAGCACCTGATACTTGGTTCGCAACGGCTGACCCAGTTCCGCGACCGCATCCTGTGCCCCCTGGACACGCTCGCGCGCGAATCGGGCAAGGACAACCCCTCCGGATACTTCTTCGTAGAGGTAAGTCGTAGAAACGGCACGATTGGTGGCGAGTCTTCTGGTGTGGTTGGATCCTGCAAGTCGTTCGTGAGACTGTCGTGAGACGCTTGTCATCTTGGGCTTAGGGCAATTCCTCCGGATTATTTTCATAGGGGTAAGTCGTGATCACGGTACAAATGTAGGCGAGTCTTCGACTTTCACATACTTAAGATTCCCGAGGATATCCATGAGGTCCTCGTGGGACAACTCCCATCGCGGGCGACTTAGGGACCCCGTTGGCAACTCTTTCTGTCGCCCCATTTGCGATATGACTATGACCATTGGCGACACTTGAGGCCGGACTCACTGCCTTAACGTCGCCACGTAGCCACGTGCGACTTCGTCGGATGACCCCATCTCTAGGTGTTTTGGGACATCCGCCGAGCGCCAAGGCCGGCAGATTGACCGGTTGGTTGTCACAGAAGGGTTCCGTTGGTAGTAGGCAAAGCTTCCGCTCTCAAGCGTCCGGCCTGTCGGACTGCCTGCTGGTAATGGTTGATGCATGCGGCAGAGGGGTCGCTATGTTTCTCTTGTTTAAGAGGCTCTTGCACTGGAACTGAAGATAATTCTGGCGTCTAGGACTCAGCGGCAATTCATCGTATGTCTATTCTGATGGTTCCGTCCGGGATCACGTTCTCTGCGTCGCAGCAATCAGCAGTTACCGCCGCTGCATACGCGGAGAGATAATCACGCAAAGCAGACCGAAAATTAACCATAATCGAGACGAAGCCTCTGTTCGCCTTCTTAATCGCCTCGTTACCTCGCAGGACACCTTTTTCGACGATATGCGAAGCGGAGCGTCAGCCATAAGGTACAGCGCGCCTATCGTCGAATGGGCGGCCGCCCAGCCGTCGCCACGTGGCGGGCCCGGGGCGGGCGTCGTCCGCTACGAGCAGAGAGATATGGAGCGGTACACGTTTGAAGACCTGAACGTGCGGGTCGGAGCGGAGTACCTCTACTGTCACCAGGTAAGAATACTTTCGCGGCCTTTATAACTGAATTTGAAGATTGTCACTATACGCGTTTGAGGATCTGAAAGTGCGAGTCGGTGCGGAGTATCTCTACTCTCACCACTTAAGAAAATTGTGAGCAGCTTGTGTAGCCGAAGTGAAGGCCTTCACTACACGCGTCTGAGGACCTGACAAGTGCCGATCCGAAAGGAGTATCCAGGTAAGAAAGATTTGACTCCCTCACTACACGCGTTTGAAGACTCAACCTGCGGAGTGGACCGGAGTACCTTCTTCGCAACCGCGGGGTATTTTATGATGACCCTTTGTGGCCGAAATTGAGACCTTCAGTACATGCTTTTGGAGACCAGAACGTGCGGGTCGGAGTGGAGTATCCGTACTGTCACTGTTATGAAGCACGTTCTGGAGCCGAAACCAAGGCCTCCTTCGCAGCTCGTTGCGCAGACCGACTCAATTGCTTCTTCTGCCATCGTCGAAGCGAACGATGCGCGGTGCGCGATGAACGGGCGGCTCTCCGGTCGTGACGAAGTACTGATACATTTCCCAGAGTAATCAATGTCTCTCGAACCCGCTTGAGCAGTACGCCGCGACGTCTTCGATCTTTACTGGAACAGGGCTTTGTCGCCTCTACAGAATTTGGTTCATTGCTGTGCCAAATCAGACCCATTTCAGATGCATATGTTTCAAACATCTCGTCGAGTCTCTGACTGCTCGTCGTATGCGCTGCAGGGCAACTGCGAGCACAAGATGGTGTTCACGGACGTGAGGTGAGTTGTGACGTCATTGCGCAAATCCGGCTTGAAGCGATGAACTTGAACCGCGTCCACAGTTTGACGACGCACTTCTTTGAAACGCGCTTTTAAGTAAGTTCGTTGCTATAATTCTTTAATTGGACCCCATTCTTGTCTTGCCTGCGTGGCTGAAGAAAGCACCTCTGCCTCGTCAAACCTGTAACTACATTCCTTCCATCCGCAATCCTGTTATCAGGCGGTCTACATAGAGCCTCGCTGTATCATCTTGCAGGATGCTGAACCGATTCGACGTTCCGGATCTGTTCGCATATCCCTTGCTGCGGTACCGGGTAAGAGAAAACCGAACAAACTCTTTCTGCCTTCATGAGCCAAGTGTTGCTTACCAGGCTCCTTATTATTCAAGATAGATGGTGTTAAAACTTTCGTGCTGCGATATTGAGATACGCTGACGGTAAAAGAAGAGAAGGTGATTCTGTTAGCATTCGATTGCACGTCATTGGTTAATGCCGGCCCGCCATTCACCACGACGTTTCGAACGCTGGGCTCTGCATGGTGTGGTGCGATACGGATCCTATGAATTTCTCTCGGTTGTAAAAAATAGGGTCTGGTGCTGAAGAACAGGATACTCGTATCTTCAACCTTGACATGCGTCTCGCTTCGTTGCTCATGCAGACGCAACGTCCGCCGAAAAAGTGCCACATCTGTTGTAAGCAGCAGGCGTCGGTGAGCGCCCACGTCCCCTTCTTCTCGTGTTCCTCCCCTTTTCGCAAGTTGCATCGCCCCGTCCGCTCAAGGTGTCTCTCTGGTTGCGCTTTGCCAACCAGAATTGAGTCGCGTGGTTGGTCCTTCACTCGGTTGTGAGCAATCTCTGGGAGGACGGAGTCCCTATCTGCATTCGGCAAGGGCGATTTCGGACGGTTCCAGCAGCCGTGCTGCCAGGGATAATAAAGGCGACGTTTCGCCTCGCTGATCACAGTGTTTGCCCTGGCTGCAGAAGATAACGGTGGGAGATGAACTGGTGCCCGAGAGCCCGTGCCTCTTCTGCGAGCAAGTGAGTGCTTTGAAACGCTTCTGTACGGAACCCCTTCTGAATGAGGACCCCCTTCTGATTGAGGCTAGGGATCCGGGGCGGTGCAAGCTTTGGATGAATGTTTCGAGGACTATTACACGCTCAGCCGTTCAAAAGTTGATTGCTTGGCGAGGACCCTTCTTCGGTGAAAGTGCTTTCGTCGTCAGGTTACTGTCCAAAGCCCATATGATTGCCTTGGTGAGGCGTCGGTTAACAAACTAATAGGTGCGAAGCAAGCGGCCCTGCCCCTAACAAGACGTCGAAAGGTCTTAGCTGTGCTGGAATCTGGCACAGAATGTCTTAGCCCGAGAGATCTTCTGTACGAACCACTACTGCAATGGAGGGCTGCCTTTCGGTTATATTTGTCGTCTCAACAATGAAGCTGACTGAAGCTGCCCTTCCTTCTGCAGTGCTTCGACGCGCTCCACCGAACCAAAGCAGGCGAGCTCCATCCAGTCGACTTAGAGGTGTACCCTTTCACACCGGACATGCATTGAGCACCGTTTGGATCCTGTAAAGTCAAAATCCCATAAACCCAAAGCCTTTGGCTGCAAGCGGCAGACGAGGCATTCTTAGAAACGAACCAACTATCATCAAGAACGTTGTCAACAGTTCTGCCGGGACGTCAAAGACAGTAAAGAATATTCGTTCGCGCGCTTACAGGAAGCAGATCAGTGCCAGCCCTAGCAGCGGTCAGGATATATGGATACATAGGTGCTTACGACACCATGCAGACCCACGGGCCACACCTCCTCGTAGAATCTTAATACTGATCAAGCTACTTCGATGCCCATCTGATGCCGTGCTGCTTTTGATCATATCATTAGAACTTCTATCGGGCCTCCACGGCCGCCGCTTGCATGCATGCAGTCACATTCGTAGATATCCGGCAGACGCGGCATATGTGTGCCGTCCGTACGCCGTCGCTTATCATAACACGAAATTACATCCTCAAGTCGATCTAAGAGCTAAATAATTGGATATCACTCCATCTCATTTTCTCAGTCAACCGTCCCTGCTATATGCGTGATTGCGGCCCAACAACAGATGACTCGATGTATTGGGTTATTGGATTAGTTCACGCCCACCCCTCTAGAGCTTTTCAACATTCGTATCGATTAGTGGAACTCCTTAATCGCAACAGCTGGAATTGACGAGTAGCCAAGAAGCTTGTAGGTCAACGAAGTTAGGCCGCCGCCCTGTCTGGCCTGGCCTAGGTATGTATCCTCGAAGCGTTTGCTGCAGGCTCTAAGTTGCCTGTCCAACCCATCATGTCTACATCAAGTAAATTTTGGCAACAGTCTTCAATCAAAGGGTTGTATCGAGTGGCTCAGCTTCATCTGCACTTTCCAGAAGGACCGACTGTTTCGAATCCTTCGTCAGAACATTCACAATGCAAACATCGCCGAAAGGATGACAGCACTGCAAACTCACTCAGAAAAACGCCGTTTCATCTCTCTCAAAACCAAGCTTATGATTCATCTACGGTCGCCTATGGTCTCCTGACCTGGCTATCGCCAAATCCTGCAGACAGAGGCGGCCAACTTCCTTCCACCAAGCTTTTGGTTGGTGCTTGCGCCGTTCGCCGCTGCAAGTCGGTGACGAATCCCCTGGAATCATGCGCTGCTTACTGAAAGCACGTTCACCATTTCTGAGCAGACTCGATACGGAGTTCTCTGCACAAAAAAGGCATGTATTGTCACCTGATGGATGTCAAGATGTTGAAATGGCGACCGTCCAATGTCCAAGGGCGCTCCAGACATCGGCGGTCCAGTCTAGTTAATCCAAACCGGCCAGATCATAAGCACAAGTCAGCACAAGTTGGTCAAATCCTAAGCGTTTCACATAGCCACGAGAGCGCAGAGAACTCTCATGCTGTAGCAAATGGGACGGTAGTTTTGACAGAACCCAAACATTTTTTGCCTCTTGACTAGTAATTCAAAAAGGCGAAACCTCAGCCGCGGCCGTGCAACCCCGCCTAGAATCGCGGCTGGCCGCGCGCGGGCGTCTCGCCTCTTCGATGGTCAGTACTAGTTTGATGATTGATCGTCAGTCAACTGGTGGGTCCAGGTCCGCTCCATGCACGCATGAATGTTGAAGAAACCTGTGCGCCAGGGCTGAGAGGATGCTCAGGAGAAGAAGAGGCACATGCATTGTTTCAGGGGAAAGTCAGACTGAACAAAAGAAGGATTCGTAACCAAGAGACCAAAGTTTGCTTTCTTGATCAGGTTGCGGCTTCGCAAAGTGTGCTGATTCTGCTCCGTCATCTTTTGAGAAATGGACCCAAGGGACCTTGAGTCCTTGGTGGAACAGTGTGCTGCCATGCTGCTTTCAGACGATGTGAACATCCTTGATAAGGGCATCCAGATTCTAAGAGGCAAGTATATAGTGACAGCAAGCAAACAAGCGGAACAACTTGCAAGAATTGCTCAGGAGATTGCAGTTTACAATGGCGGCGTTGTCCTCAAGAAGCTCTGGGAAGGCCTGCAGTTGAGGACTTCAGAAGGATGTCCAAAGCCGCCGACCACGTATTCAACGGGATGCAATTTTGCATTGTCGATTCTCTCATCCAACAAAGTTGTCGTAGAACGCTGCTTGAAGATCCTAGGGGCAAAGGAAAGGTTGGCTGCTCGTGACATCTACCGAACGCTTTCTGGGATGGCTGTTCAAGAAGCCCGCTCTCTGAAGAGAATTGGAGCGGCCGTCGAAGGCCCTTCGTTCAACACGCTGAGATTTGGGACGCGTTTACGGAACATATGCAACTTTGCAGAAGCCTCTAGAGTTTTCCGGGAGGGCATGAAGGACGTCGCGGAAGAACAATCCATCTTTGAGACTCTTGGGTACCTTGTAAGCCCAGAGTTCCTTAGCAAGCTGACTGCTTTTGATTCTTGGAAGCTTCGCGACTTGTTGTCACGGTTAGTCGAGTCTCTGGCGATTGCAAAAGACAGCCAGCTTTGGGCCTTAGACAAGGGCCTACTCAAGCTGATTGCAGCAATCTTGGAAGGCTCGCCCGTGAAGGAGCCCAATCTGAGCCCCAACTTTAAGCCCGATGGTTCTCCCAATCAGTCCTGCGCAGCATCCCTTGTTTTCTTGCTCGAAACGGAGGCTGGGGTTGAGAAGATGCGCGCTCACAACGCACTATCCGGACTTAAGCCCCACAAGCAGAAAATTAACGGGGCGCCCCTCAATCGGAGCTGGAATTACATCGAGACAAGAATGCAGGGCAAACACGCAGCACTGGGAGCGCTGCGTTATGTCGGTAGATGGAAGCTCAAGCAAAGTGGAGATGGTTACGTCGTTCTTCCAGTGGTCTGCTCTTGGAAGCTGTGCACAGCAGGCCCCGAGACCGCCGGAAAGAAGTTCGGCAAGTGCGCGCTCTGTCAGGTCTCCCGTTATTGCAGGTGAGTACTGATTGCCTTGATACCTTTCGAAGATGGACCTCGTGCCAGGAAGTGGTCACTGCAGACCCTTTAACTCAAAGCTGGGACATCACCTGGTGGATTACCTTGTGGGAAGGTAAAAGTAACAGGGAAGAAGCGTTTTTCGTTTGCTTACAAAAAAACCTACGCAGAGGGAGTGTGCGGCACAAGGTTCTAATCATCAAATGTAATGAGCCTTTCTCGAAGACATTCCTTGAAGCATCGTATCTATCAGAATGTCTCGAAGATGGCATTTGTAAGTCTCCATTGAGTTATTCAGGTTGTGACGTTGCAGCAAAGAGCATCACAAGCTGCACTGGCCGTCGCACAAGATCCATTGCCAGGCTGGTCGCGCAAGTACAATTTGATTCGTGACGATGTTCAAAAAGCGCAGTCGTAAGAAGCAAATGGTGTCCTTGGGCAGTCCCTGGACATGATACGACAATAAGGTTGCTACTGTAGTCATGGTATGCAGATCAACCGGCTATAGATTACCTGAGCTGTTCATTGGTGTCGTGAATGAGGTCACGGTTGTCGAGATTGTTCATCATGCAGAGCTAGGGACTCTTACTGGTGATGGGCTTGGATCAAGTAGATCAGCAAATTGGATTCTTCAACAAGCGCGCGAAGGGCCGATGACCGACACAGATCTGAATGCTATTGCTTTTAAGTACGCTGAATGCAGCTTCTGGCTGGTTTTGGCCGCCCGGATGGACGGGAAAGTGAATTTAATGATAACATAAGATTAATTTGCCATCATCGTCTAGTTTGTAAGGAGAGGTTCGATCGTGAAAACTGCGAAGATTTCCTCGGCCAGAGTCTGCGGCACAATGCTTGAGGTCTGCCTGAAGTTTGACTCTGATTTACGTACGTCTTGATCACGCCCTCCATGAATGAGTCCCTCTGCAAAAAGAAGGCATGCATCGTTTCTTGATTGTTAGTGACTTCAGCTTCCCATTGTAAGAGTGGATGTTCAAATGGCGACCATCCGATCATCCAAGGGTTGTCCAATCTAGCGAACCCAAACCGCCCAGTAACCCCAAGTTGGTCATCCTGAACGTATCAGCGAGTCAGGAGAGCGCAGAGCACTCTCCTCTGAAGCTGATGGACCGGTACGATCACAGATTAGTTTGCGCGTTGAATCCATAAAGCGAAACCTCCAGCCGCGCCCCTGCGATCGCCCCTCGTGTCGCGGCCGGCCGCGGGCATCGGCCTCTACGTACGATGGTGTTGATTGCTCAGGTCTGCCCAATGCGCACAGAGTGCGCGCATGAAGATCGTTGAAGAATCTGATGCGCCAGGGCTGAGAAGATGCTCAGAAAAGATGCACATGCGTTGTTTCGGTGACCGTGCAGACTTGACAGAAGAAGGAAATATGACCACGAAGGGACCAAAGTCTGCCTTCTTGATCAGGTTGCGGCTTCACAAAGTTTGCTGATTCTACTGTGCCACCAGCTTCTGAGAAATGGACACACGGGACCTTGAGTCCCTGGTGGAAGAGTGTGCTGCCAAGCTGCTTTCAAGCGATGTAGAAAGCATAGACAAGGGTATAAAGCTTCTAGGAGGCATGTATATGGTGAAAGCAAGCAGAGAGGCAGAACAACTTGCAAGAATCGCACAGGGAATTGCAGTCTACTATGGCGGCGTTGTTCTCAGGAAGCTTTGGAAAGGGATTCTGTTGTATACATCAGAACAAGATCCACTGTATTCACTTGGCTGCACTTTGGCGTTTTCGATGTTGTCAACGAGCAAGATTGTTGTAGAACGCTGCTTGAGGATCTTAGGGCCAAAGGAAAGGTTGGCTGCTCGTGATATTTACCGTACGCTTTCTCGGATGGCTGTCCAAGAAGCCCGCTCTTTGGAGGCAGGAGCGGCCGTCATGGGCCCCTCAATGATCACCCTGTCATTTGGAACGCCTCTACAGACTCTGGGCAACTTTGCAGAAGCATCCAGAACTTTCAGGGAAGCCATGAAGGACGTTGCGGAAGAGCAATCCATCTTCGAATGTCTTGGGTATCTTGTATCCCGCGACTTCCTTAGCAAACTAAGTGTTTTCGATTCCTGGAAGGTTCGCGACATAATGTCAAGATTAGCCGTGTCTCTTGCCAGTGCGGAAGACTGCCAACTGTGGGCCTTGGACAAGGGCTTACTCAAGCTGATTGCAGAGATTTTGGAAGGCTCGCCCGTAAAGGAGCTCAGGGTTCACCCCACCTTCAAGCCCGAAGGTTCTCCTGTGCAATCTTGCACCACAGCCCTTCATTGCTTGCTCGAAACGGGTGAAGAAGATGCGCGCTCATAATGCGCTGTCCGGACTCAAGCCCCATAAAAAAAAGATCAATGCGGCGCCACCAATTTACGATCTTGGCTGGTATTACATCGAAGCAAGAATGCAGGGCAAGAAGGCGCCTATCGGATTGCTGCGTAACATCAAAGAATATAAGCTCAAGCACACTGGAGATGGGGATGTGGTTCCTGTGGTCTGCTCCTGGAAGCTGTGCACAGAAGGCCCCGAGACCGGCGAAAAGAAGTTTGGCAAGTGCGCGCTCTGTCAGATCGCCCGTTACTGCAGGTGAGTACTTACCGCCTTGTTATCATTCGCAGATGAAGACTCCAGACCCTGTTTATTTGCACTGGAACTTACCAGGTACCCTTCGAAAATACTGGCTTAAGTTACATGTAAGAACGAGTGGAAGGGAAGAGGCGAGCATTGCTTTCTTGACAGAGAATGTTATGCAGAGGGAGTGTGCCGCATCAGCTTCTCCAGAGAGACACGTGCTCTTTGAAACCAGTCAGCTTTTCCCCAAAACATTTCTGGAAGTATCTTCGCAGAGCATGAATCAACGTTGGCCATGTTTGTCACCTTTGAACTTTTCAAAGTCATGAAGCCCCACGTTTAAGGATTGCTCATCTTTTTGATCACCTTATGATTCATTTTGCAGCAAGGAGCATCAGAAGCTGCACTGGCCGTCGCACAAGATCCACTGCCAGGCTAGTCGAGCAAGGACATTTGATTCGTGAAGAGACTCGACAGAGCGGAGTCGTAAGGAAAAGTTGCTTTCTTGGACATAATAGGACGGAGATTTGAGAGTGATATGCAGTCTAACCAATCACAGAGCTGTTCCGTTTGAATTGGGGTCACGGTAGTCTTTTGAAGGTATCTCAGACCAGTCTCCAGATTGTTCAACTTACAGAGCAACTCCGACTGGTGGTCGAAGACCTAGCTAGTAGATTAGGACATCAATTTGAACCTAATGGGGCAATGAGAGACACAGTTCTAGATTACTACTGCCTGCATTGTAAAACGGCTTGATCGCAGCTTCTGGATGCGAACGAATGCAACGATAACCCATCTGTCGTAGCCAGCATCGTAGAAGATTGCGAGCTGTACGACAATATGATCAGCTTTACGGTTCGCGCTACTTCCCAAGCTGCCGGCCTGCAGTCAAGCACCTTGAGCTGTGCGGATGGATTCAAATCCTTCACGAGTACGCATCGGTCATCGGTCCATGAGGTGACGAGCGGGCCAGCCGCGGCCGTGCAGGCCCGCTGTGTACGTATGCTCAAGAACGAAAGAGTAAACTGTTAGAGCTCGCTTTCGTTGATCGAGAATCAGGATCATGATGCGGACAAAGCGCATGGCAAACATTGAGGCGTTTTACATGGAGGTTAAAGTCCCGACGGTAAGTCAATTTTCGGACTTACCACGACTTGCCTTTTACATGGTAGCGACTTACCGTGGTAAGTCGACTTTACCGACGGTAAAGTAGGCCCCAATTTAACTCATCGAAATCGATGAGGTAAACCGTGGTAAGTCGTGGTAAGTCCAAAATGAGTGCGGATTTGCCCTCGATCGGGACTTACCAACGACTTACCCTCGGACCATGTAAAACGCCGATATGTCGACGAGCCCACGGTAAGTCTGGGCGGTACAAGTTTAGTCGCGACAGTGCCCGGCAAGTCAGCACTTACCCTCGGCAAACCACCTCTCATGTAAAACGCCTCAATGATTTTGGATCCTTTCTCCGGGCGGCCGTCAGAAGCTGCGAGATCTGCAAACAGGAACCCAACGCCCGTCTCACCATCATGTGTGCGCGCGGCCGCGCAGGAGGCACACATGCATCATATGTCTAAAGCGGGCGTTTTTGATCGAGCTGGCCTACCGTCAAGCGGGCCACATGTGTCATTCTTATGTGGTATCATGCATCCATACATCGGGGCGTTGTAGGTTTTATAGGACCACGACACGGTAGCAACATGCGCTTGCAATATTTTATTGGGACTGGTATGGAGACACATCTTGTACGAAAGGTGACGTTCTCGAGCCCTGCACCAAGCGATATGCACGACTGCGCAGCGGGGGCCAGATCGAAGGCCAGTTCCTTGAATGAAGCTCGCTGCTGTACGGTCACTTCCGCAATTCCACTCAACTCAACTTCCGAGCTGATTGATTGCCAAGTATAAAATCACGACCAACACTCCCTCTCTATGGAGACTAGGTCACATTTTACGCAGTTACTTCACTTCCCTGGGCCTGGCCAAATGATTCGAGCTACAATCAGGGGTCAGCGCCCTTCCCCCCTTGGCCACGAAGTACTTGGCGTCTTGGAACCGCAGCACCTCATTGCCCCACGACGTCCATCCCGCCGTCAGCTCGCGCGCAAACAGCTCCAAGCCCCGCGAGGAAGCGCCTTTTGCCGAGTACTTTTCCAGTAGACCTGGCGGAAAAATATCGGCGGTCTACGTGCTGATTACTAAAGGCAGCGGGAGGATATATGAAAGGCAGTCGTAGGAGAGCTCAGGACAGTATCCGATTCATGGACAACGCACGAATGAAGCGGCAGAAACACAAAACGCGTCGAAAAGAGTAGCTAGTCAATTTGGCTTGGCATGCGCTCTCCTGAGAGTTTTGTATCAATCTTGAGGCCCCAGGTGCAGAGTCTTTCTTAAAGCGCCAAACGGGGCGTTCTGACAGAAGACCAAGATGCGCGTTGACGAAGAATGCATCCGTATGTTCTTCTTTCACAAAGTAGGTTCGCATGGCTTGGGGGCCTTACACTTCAGAGGCGGCTTCCTCGAGTGTTCTCCAGGAACGCTGACGATGACGAAGTTGTCGGGCGCAGACGGCGTAACGGTCAACTGCTCAAGTGAGTTACGAGTCACGTTACAAGTCACGTCTTCGATAGGTCCCCGTAGGCGCGGCTTCAGTAGAGACGGAACCGATTCGCAGAACACTCAACATGCACGCAATTCCTTTCCGGCGAAGCTATTCCCGACCATTCTTCCATCGGCGAGCCGGTACTCTCGCTCGTTCCCGGTGCTCGAGATCCAGAGTAACAGCCACTACCGTCGCTGCGATGGACAGAGCAGTCGGTACCAAGACGAGGCACGACGAAAGCTGCAAGATTTGCAAGACAAGTTCGACTGCAAAAACAGATAATTCCAGCAGAGGAACGATTACCTGCGAAGAAGCCGGCGACTCTACGGTATTCATTTTGTGGGTACCGAACGGCTGCTCGCGCTCGTCGGACGCCGCTTGCTGCATTTCGGACGGCTGTTCGCGCTCTGCGGACGCAACGTGTTGCGTTTCGGACGGCTGCTCGCGCTCTGCGGACGGCACGTCTTGCTCTTCGGACGGGGCTCTGGCAAGCACGAGCACTTCGTACGGCCGGTGATGAGCCAGATCTAGCGGACTGATCGTTTCCCCCTCGGGGGTGACCTGCGAGGTGAAGAAAGTCTTTCAACAAATTGCAAAAAACAACGCCGGGTACATGGCAGAATTCACCGGATGTGGAGGCCGAACTGCGCGGATGATGGTTCCACTGGGGGCAAAACGTCGGTCAAAGAGTGTTCATGGATTACCCGGCATTGAGATCTTGCAGGCGCTCAGCGGTCTGTCCTTAGCTACGACTGTCCTCAAGCTTTACAATATACTTTTCCGCTCAGAAGCATTAGTTGGATGCTTGGAACGACGCTTTTTGCATAGCGGGAACACTCTTGTACCATCACGAGCAAATAGTGCATCAAAGACAGAGATGATTCCCGCATGATCTCTCTATTCTTCTGCGACGGTGGGGTAACCACCAGACGCTTGCGACAGTGTTGGCTATCGTCCTGAACCGCGTTTTGCAGATCTCGAGTAACTCAGGGCGCTTGGTCGCAAAACTAATCAACGAAAATCTGGTCTGTTCCAGAGGGGATTCCTCCGGCAGTTTCACCTGCAAACCTTCCCCAGACCTCACGTCTATGACGCCACGGAGCAAAGTGATTACGGAGTAGACTACAGTAGGCTTATTCACCTTGAGCCAGTGCCACGTGGCCTCCAGCCGCAGCCCCCACGTGGCCAGAAGCTCGCTTTCCACAAAAGCGCGCAGCTTCTCCCGGTTGGTGACCCAGATCGCGACAAGCGCCCCGTCAGAGTGGGCCAGCTTCTGCAGGGGCAGCCCCAGGAGGTTGCGATTGGGCAGGGTGGCGTACCTGTGTGATCCCAGATACAAAACAGCAATTTAAGGTTTCTGCAGGACCTTCGATATTCCTGTTACAGCAACGAGAGTCCTTTGAGATTCAGAATCTGCTTCGGCTTCGGCGTTCCAACCCAGATCAAGTTACGTTTGACAAGGGTCTTGTATCTGTGCAATGCCCGGGTACAAATCGGAGCTTTAATGGTTTCGTGCGATCTGGGGTTTTCATGGCTTTCCTTTTGCAGCAACGGGGCTTCGTCTACACTCAGATCGAGATTGGTTGAGCAGGATTGCGTACCTGTGCAATGTCCAGATTCTTAGAATTTTGAGGGGTATATTTACAGTTCTCGTTGGCCTTTTCCATCTTCGAGGCTGTATCTTTCATTCTGCTTGATAATCAATATTTCGATACTGGGGGACACAGTGTCGAGCTTCTACTTTGCTTAGATCATTGCCATCAGTTCGCTGTGGCTGGCGCGTCCTCCAAGCGAGCCACGAATGTATCTTTTCCTCAGTGCTATATCTCCGCAAAATGAGTAAACAAGACGGACGAACCGGCGCGCACTCGCACACGAGTAATGTAAACCCCGCGATCCGCAGCAGAGATGGCTACAGCGACCAGACTCACGTGGCCTGCCTCTGCACGCTTTTGTTCTCCCAGGGAGGGTCCAGCAGGATGATGTCATAGCCCTCGCTTCTTGTTGCTGCGGTCAGCAAAGCGAGGAGGGTAAGTGGGCAACTCTTTTCCGCACTTCAGTTATCTGAGTCAACTTTTGGGGCCTGATCAAGACTAGCTCCTCTGGGGATTTTCGTGACCGACGCACCAGCTTTCTAGCCCTTTACGTACGTGATAGAACCTCCTTTTCAGCGGTCAAATGAGAAAAGAAGTGGTATGGAGGCACGGATGCCGTGGCGGTCCGAGCTCAAGCTTAGCCCCAACCCACGAGGTCACCAATCTGGATGGTGATCTGGACGGAGACTGAGGACCGGATATCGACTGTTCGACTCAAGTTGCATGAGGGCACACGCGCAATCTGATAGTCCATTCACGTAGCTCCAAAGGAGAACACGTACAACGAGGAAGGGTAGCCATCCGACAGTGGCGCAACACTCCTGAAAACAAGTTGGTGCCCATGCTTTCTACGAACGGCCTACCAATTTCTGCAGTGGATTTGACTACAGCCTCGCAAATCCTTCGTGGATACAGACGACAAAGAGACTCGCAATTTACAAGGTTCTGTGAGTGACAAAAGCCGTTTCCTGCTGGCGCTTATACTGAAAGGGTGCTGAAAGCGACCAACGATGACCCTATGGCAAAAGGGGTGCGGCAGCCTACCTGGTATAAGCGGGCTCAGACGGCTGAAGTCAGACTGCATTGAACCGGACAAAGAGGGCCGTCAGAGCAGATTTTAGCGTGCTTCTTTGACACACAGCAGCAGTCCTTTTAGCGCGCCTGTTTTTGAGCGCCACAAAGGGGGGTTCGCAAGTAAGCCGGTCAGATCAAGCCAGCGGATCAAATCCTTGAAGCGAGAGGCTTGCACGGAAGTCAGAAACCACGGTAGGCTGCCCTTGGAGGTGAGCGCCCAAAACTGGCGTGTTTTAGACGTCACCAATGTGTTGTTCTTTCCGTACTTCCTGAGGTCGAACAGGAACACTTTCTTGAAAGTGCACCGGGCACAACAAGGCAGGTTCAACTTCCACATTGAAGCAAGATGAGCACGTCGAATGAGCGTGGCAGCTTGTAACAGACGAGACTCCTGTAAGTGAAACGGCCTTCAGAAGGGCTTCTGCCTTTGTTCGATGCCCGCTGCTTTATCTATTCGACCTCCACGATTGAAGGAAGCGGTCTGACATAAGGCTGTGTGCTTTGCAATCCAAATAGCATATGCATAGCGTATCCCAGGTTATAATACGACGATACGGCTCACCAAGAGGAATGCTGACCTTTTCGGGAGAAGAAAGGTGTGGCCCATACAGGCCGCCAGTACTTCGGAAGCGCAATCGTTCCTAACAAGAGCGTTGAACAGCGGGAAGTGCTCTGCCAAAAGGAGCGAGTAAAGCAAACTTCAAAAGTTGGCTTGGAAGCTTAAACCTACTTCATTCCACCGGGAGCTTCAAGACTATCAATTGACAAAATCTAAAGTGGGAGGGCCAGGTCAGCAATATCGTCCAAAAGATTGCTCAGCATCCGTGCAAGGACAGAACACAGGTAAAGGAAGATAACAACCATTTGTTCCAGAGAAGCATAGTCACCTTCGGAGTCTTGGAAGACGATCTCAGCCAAGTCCGCTTGCCAGACGCCAGCAAGAGCAACGAAGTCGACATCCTCGTCTCCCATTTCAGGTTCTGAGCTTGCAGGCTGGATCCAACTTCTAGGCAGGCTGCCATCAGCTAGCCGCTGTCCGAAGGCTTCGTAAGCAGCCAGGATGAACGGACGGATCGCCTGAGGCCACAAGGACAGGGAGTTGAGCGCATGGAGCTTCACAGCACTGGAGATATGCGGACATGTTTCAGACTGGACAACTCTACAGGGCTCAAAGCGATGATGCATCGAAGAAGGAAATTGCTGACAGCACCGACATCATGATAAGGTCCACAACTCGTGATAGAAAAGCCACTTTTCTGCGAGCAGGTGGCAGCCGGCCCTCCATTGTCCCTCATCTTACAGTCAACTTGAAAGTCCTTGGACAGTTTGGAGCCGAAGAAACCAAGGTCGGATCCATGTGGCTTCGAAGTGCTTGCCCACTGATATGCAGTAGGCTTCGTGAGATGGCTCCATAAGAGCTTGAAGTGTAATCTTACCTCATGTCTGGCTTTTGCTGCCACTTCTTTGGTGTTTGGAGTGTATGTGCTCCTTGTTTTCCTTTTCCTTTTTCTGTTTCTGGCAATTCCTTCCGTGGTGGTATTAAGTCCTGGGCCTTCTTCACGAAGAACTGCAAACGCCATGTCACCTTACTCAGAAGCCAATTGATCCTGTCTGGACTGTAGTTTCAGAAAAAAGGATAGCTGTTGCTTTCTTGCAGAAGTTCTCTTGCAAACAGGAGAGCATCGTCGGCATTTGAGGAACAGCATTAGCTTTTGTTGGAGCCTTTGATTGTATTATCTCGCGACATCATAACGCACCACCTCTACGTCGCAGCATAGAAATGTTGACCATGACGTGAAGAAACTGATCCCTTTCAAGGGCTCTTTAAACGTTGACTGTGTGTTCCCCATAATTCAAGTGCTGCTTGCAAGTCCTCATTGCTAGTTCTGAACCCACCTATTTGATGACTGGAGCTCGCTTGGCTGGGCACCATAGAAGAGGACGTATCTTCTCCATTGCAAGGCCCTCCAGTTTGACTGGGAATTGGTTTTTTGCGGGCGAAATATCGGAACGCGGCAAGCTCGAAAAGATCATACTGCTTACTTGCCTCCCGTGGAGAGTCAATCCAGACGCCGTCCTCTTTCCCAAGCACAAGGGCCATGATGTCAAAGCACCAACTGACGCAAAGCGCACAGGAAAAACAAGCCACAGCCCGAGCTTGTCTTCAAGTTTCTGCCTAGCTGCCCCATTCTGTGCGATCCCTCTGCACTGGCCCGACGGACGAAGGTGTGCCGCTTCTAGTTTATTGAATCGACGGTGCGTATTAGCAGAGGGTTTGACCTGCAAAGACGATTGAGCTAATTTGACGGTCGGATCAAGAGGCCAAAGCATCGACGGCAGCAAGTTTCTGAGCTATTTCACAGTATGCGGAGCTCAGCCTGGAAGAGCGCTGGAACTCGGAAGTTGAACTTGTAACTTCAATACTCAAAAGTTTTAAACTTCTGGCCCTTGACTCTTGAGAAGCTACATGCTTTTTGGAGGCTTTTACTAATACTATTAGCGCCCTTCTTGTGCTCCAGTCGAGAAAAGTCGACAAATCTGCTGATTGAAACAGTTTGTAGTTGAAGCAGATTGTGCGGACGAGCGGTTGGAAGGATCTCGGCAGCGGCACTAGGCAAGCATGGCGGAAGAGGAGTTGCCGCAGGATTCTAAGCTCGAACTGGCGGAGACCCTCTTCCTATTGAGCGTGCCTGATACACCTGACATCGAAAAGCATAAGTATAAGGAGGAGGTACTTGCGGCGGTGGAAAAGGATGGTGCGCTATCACCTTTCGCGATTTGGTTGTCTGACTCGCCTGCGATGGCCGCAGCTCAAAAGATACTTTTGAGGGGCAAGCGCTTTGACAGTCCGAGCACATGTTGTTGGGTCATCGATTGATCTTGTTTGAATGGAGACTGCGACTTCATATCAAGGATGGTCGCTCCTATTGAAAGATTGCTTGAAGCTCTATGGAACATCTGCCAGCGACCAGGTGGTGATAGCACAAATCACCCTTTCCTTTGCAGATTGAGTGCTAGCCAAATGGCTTGGGGTGCAGTCTACTTAGGGACCTTCCGGTTTGAACTAGGTGACGCGTTGAGCCAGAGCTCGCCATCGAAGAATCAGAATTGCATCTCAAAGTACTGCGGGTTGTTTCTGTACAGGTCTGGTGGACATCTATGAAAAGGCGGTAGCTGATTTTGGTTGGTCGGTAGACAAGGAGTTTGTCAAAAAGCTCAGGGAAAGAAATGCAGAGGACGAGAAGAAGATCGATGAGAAGTAAGTCCTTGCTGAGCCACAGCTTTCTTCAATTGTTAGTGACAGCTGGGAGCTGGGTGGTGCAGATCCGCAGGGGCTATACTCGTGATTTGCAGCCCGCTGGTCATTTCGGTGGCGCTTGCCATGAGCAAAGCGTCTGAGATTGGGGCTATCTAGCAACTGCAACGCAGTGCAACGCAGGTGCTATTTGTTGAACTAAATAGAACCGAGCACCGAGCGCAAGCAAGTATCAGATTTTGGCTTCCATACGATTTGGTGGCATAGGTTGATCCTTACAGGAGCACGCCGCTGTCAATCAGAGCTTGATTGCTTTGTGGTACTCATCATGTCTTTGATTCTGACAGGATCAAGGACGCAGAAGAGAACCTTGGGGAGAGCGAAGTGCGAGAGGCGCTTCTAGAGAAGGCCATGTTTTACATCCGGATTGGCAACAAGGTGAGCGCAGATGCTTTCAATCGTACTGCAGATGCAGAGAGTAGATCATGTTACTCGGCCGCCGTGGCAAGACATCTTTCCAAAGTCATTGCACCTGTCATCACGTCTAGGCTAAACGTCAACAAAGAGCCTGTTATGGTGCCACAGGGGCAAATGATGGAGTCAGTAGTTTGTTGCAATTCGCAGGGTAGACAGCAGTAGGAGCGCTATGCCAGGCTTGATTTCAAAGTCACCACCGACATGCGGAAGCAGTACTGTTGACCATAGCACAATGGTTGGAGCTTGATGGAAGGGCTTCATGTGGCACCCCTGCAGGAGAAAGCGCTCGCTCAGATGAACCTGACTGAGGAGAAGACCATTGCGGTGGGCCAGAAGATGGACCTGGTGTTTCACATCCTGCGCCTTGGGTTCTTCGAGCTGGACTTCGACCTCGTTTCCAAGAGCGTGGAGAAGGCAAAGATGTGAGTTTGCTTTGTGCTTGGCTTCGAGCAGGTAGTCCGGTCAGAACTTTTGTTTCCTAATTATATTCCAACCAGTCCTCATTATATCCGGTTTCATTCGAGCTTGGCTTCATGCAGGTAGTACGATCATCGCACCTGATTACAAAAAGGAAATCAGAAACTGCTTTTCGTGTTTTGTCAACACACTTGTCCGCTGAGCTTAGCTCCAAGACACAAAAGCGGAGATTGAATCAGGACACGAAACTTTCGCCAGCCTGTTTGTGCCGGGCGGCAACCGGGAGCGCAAGAACCAGCTCAAGGTGTGTGAGGGGCTGTTTCTCCGTTCACAACTCCCCTTCTGCTCTTCAGCGTTTGCATTATCTAGCTAAGTGAAGAAAATTCAACAACTATTATGTGCTTAATTTCCGTCAGCCTGTTTGCGTCGGGCGGCGACTGGGAGCGCAAGAACCGGCTCAAGGTGTACGAGGGGTTGTACCACCTGGCGACGCGCAACTTCAAAAAAGCCGCCGACCTCTTCCTCGACTCCATCGCCACCTTCACGGCCACCGAGCTCTTCCCCTACAAGACCTTCATCTTCTACACCGTCCTCACCAGCCTAATCACACTCAAGCGAGTCGACCTCAAGGCAAAGGTACACTTCTCGATAGGACGCATCACGAATGATCAGATTGCATTGAGATTTTGCATGCAAGGTTGGGGTAGCCTAGCAAAGGCTCGAGAATCTTACATGCGGCAGAGGCGAGAGCATGTTCTTTTGCTACAAGACCCTCATCGTTTTACACCGTTCTTACCGGCCAGATTGCACTCAAGCGAGTCAACCTCAAGGCGAAGATTGAAGGCACTGCGTTTGAGTCTGCTTGAAAGTCAACTTGTAATTCTTTATCGTATACTTGCTTTGGCGTTTCTGAGGCGGTAACATTGCTGCAGCGGTCTGGAGTAGGGTGCACTGCAGCAACCTGCCAAGGTGCATGATCGCTTCTCAACTAGTAAACGTAGATCAATAGCTTAGTCGACCGATGAATGCGGAGGCATCCACTATCTTGGAAGGCAAGACAGTAACCCAGCTTAAGAGCAAGGACGGGGGAACTTGACACTGTCCAAGAGTGCCCACCTTCGAATCCAAGTTGCACAAGATGAGCGCGATGCGTTCGCCCTTCATTCTGGATTGACGCTTGCTGCATACTGCGCAAGCTGTATACGCGCCCAAGATGCCAATCCGAGGGCCGACGCTTTGCTATCGTCAGCCTGCGGTCAGCTGACGACATCCACTCACCGTGCAGGTGGTGGACGCGCCCGAGATTCTGGCGGTCATTGGGGAGTGGCCGCACCTGTCCCAGTTCCTGAACGCGCTCTACGACACGCAGTACAAAGAGTTCTTCAGCGCTTTTGGTGAGGCTCGGCTCTTTTGTTGTCCCAGGCGAGGCGATTGAGGAGCCTTTTGTGAAATTGAGGTCTGACTTTTAGACCAATCGTAGCAACTAGAGCATTCTCGCCGATCTATGCTAATCTGCATTGAAGCGGCGTCCCGCATCAGAAAAGTGGCCCTCAGCATCTTCGCGCTGATTCCTGCCCGGTCCAATCTGACTCCGGCAACGCAAGCCTTCCTGCCCTGCAAACGCTTAGCCTCTCCCGAATCCCCGCCCGCTTGCCACGTGTCCCCCTTGGCTCCTCACCCATTGCCACGTGTCCACCCTGCAGCGCCCCTGACGGACGACGTCCGGCGGGACCGCTACCTGAGTCCGCACTACCACTACTACATGCGTGAGGTGCGCGTGATCGCGTACACGCAGTTCCTCGAGTCGTACAAGAGCGTCACGCTCGACGCGATGGCGGGGTCCTTCGGGGTCAGCGTGGACTTTCTGGATAGGTGAGCCACGTGTCTTCCGCTTATTGGAGGCTTCGTCTTCCGTCTGTGCTTTCCTTAAATCGTACGCGGCGGGGTCCTTCGGGGTCAGCGTGGACTTCCTCGACAGGTGAGCCTTCTCAGCGTGCCACGTGTCTTCCGTATATTGGAGGCTTGGTCTTATGTCTGTGCTTTCCTTGAGTCGTACAAGAGTCACGCTTGACGTAATGGCCGCTTCGGGGTCAGCGTGGAGTTCCTCGATAGGTGAGCCGTCTCAGCGCGCCACGTGGCTTTCGCACGTGGAGTTTTGTATCCGCGTTTGTGCTTAGGATTTGAGTTTTCTTCTTAGCTTTGTGGCTGAAGAGGTATAGCATGGGCAGGAGCTGGTTGTGTGCCCGAGACTAGTTCCTCTTTTTGTCTGGCCGTCCTTCATTTGATTGCTTGAATGACGAGGGGCGAGCGTGAACTTGTTCGATAATGCATGCTCTAGCCTTGCACCTTTGCTTCTTGTGGATTTTGGCAGTAAGACGCGTGTACTGCACAAAGTCTGTCTTGCTCGTTAAAAAGACATGCTCATTTGCCATCATTGCATGACGTTGCCCTTCATCTTTATGACGCCTGGGACTGATTTGCTAATGTTTCCGATTGGAGTATCTGGAACTTCGAAGATAAGCACACCTTGACTCCTGTCCGACTCTTCGTACTGTTGCTTGAACCAAGTTGACCTGGTTGCATCGTCTTTGGCTGCAGCGAGATCTCACATTTCATAGCGTCGGGGCGGCTAAATGCGAAGATTGACAAAGTCAGCGGTGTCCTGGAGACGAACAGGCCAGATGCGAAGAATGCTCTTTATCAGTCTACCATTAAGCAGGGCGACCTTCTGCTAAATAGAATTCAGAAGCTGTCTCGAGTTATAGATCTTTGAACAGGTTAACGAACTTGTCGCACAAGCAATTTAGGGGTGCGAGCTCTCGATGCATATGTGTCTTCGATATCTTGGGTACATACACAGGCGTTGATTACAGCATCATGCATGGGAGGTCTATGACCAGCAGTGCGGCCCGTGCGCCTGCACTTAATGTTTGCAAATAACAGGTTACAGGCTGCGAGTTCCGGACCTAGTGGCATGTTGTGCGTGCATGAGTCTTTGCTGGCGATGTGCTGCCATCATCACTGAACATGGGATGTCGTCCAACGTACAAGGTGCGAAGGCATATAGCCGGCGGTACTGCAAGCATCTCCGTGTGGCCGCAGTCAACGCATGTGCCGTCCGCACATCTAGAAATAGTGGGCCGGGCTGTACTAAGTTATGAAAGGCATGGCCGGTTCGGATGTGCGAATGTATACATCACTTCGGAGAGTGAGAAAGACTCACAATCTAGAAAAAAACAGAGGCAACTCTATGTGCATGCATGTCAGCGACATGTGCATTCACAGCTCACAAATGATCTGCAAGTTGTTTACATATCCGATCCCAGCGGCCCGAATAATGAAACAGATTCTGACTCGGCACTACTTTTACTATATACAAGCACGATGATAGGGACGGCAGGTTACGTAGATGACACCTACAGCAACCTACTGTTGACAAGGAATCAAAAATTGCCTGCATCATGCTACTTTGCAAGTGCAGTTCCCTTGCAGATTAGCTATCCTTGAGGAGAGTGGATATGACTAATCCTTGAACGAACTGGGCACGCAAGACCGCCTGCTCGTAGTGCTCCTGTTTTTCTTCTGCAGTCCAATTTGCCCCCACGCTGCAAAAAAGCCACAACAGTTAATCTTCGCAGAAGTTGGGTCGGACGAGCAGTTTAAGGCCCCCGAGGCTTGAGATTGGGCACAGCGTAGGCGAGAGCTTTGTGGTGCTCCACATCACTCGCATTCGGGAACGTCAGATTTCCCACAGCGCGAATCCTACGGCGTGCGACATAGTATATTCTGTAAGATGCCGTGGGCATGTTGCCCTTTGCACCTCATCACAAGAACTCACCACTCCATGTCTTAACATTGTGCTAAAAAACCGGGATCACATCCAAGCTTTTGCCGGGAACATTACACTTCCGCCAGCAGTCTTGCTGCCACTGATTACAAAGCGCACGGTTTTCGCTGATAGACCTATGCGCTCAACCTTCTCCACGACGCCAGTCCGGGGCCTCACCTTGGGTTCAAAGTGGCGGCCGGTTGACTCTCCCCGCCCCGCGCCTTGGCTGCCTCCTCCGCAATCAGGCTGTCGGCCAACGCCGGCAAAAAACTCTCGTCTGCGTCTTTCCGGTGGCTTGCCGCGCCAGTTCCACGCTCGACCATGAGCGACGAACCCCCCTTCCGGGCGTTTGAGAGCAGGCTGAGCGACTCGACCAAACTGCTAGCGCGGCCGCTTCTCCTCCGGCTTCTGTCGTGCACAGGCGTCAAGGAACTTCCAGGGATGAAAACTTGCTCGACAAAGGTGTGCTCTACTAAGGTATGGTTTTCGAGGCGAGCAGGCGTGGAGGAGCTTCCAAACGCAGACAAGAGACGAGCCCGACAAAGAATTTGTCTCAAACAGGTTCAGACCCTGTTTCCTGGCCACTTGTCAAGTCGTGAAACAGCCGTGCTTTCAAACAGGTGTGACACACAGGCAGACGAGAAGAACGACTTAAAACGTCTCGCTTTTGGAACGAGTAGGTAGCTTATCAAGTCGGAGACCAGCCGCTGCTTTTGAAGAAAGTGACTCGCACATGGCAGGGTGATCCCTCTGGTTACGAACTGCTCAGGTCGGGGGTACGTGACTGGTTGCATCACCCTCGCTGTCCAGCGTTCCTACTCATTCTTTGTTAAAAGCAGAGATATAAGAGGAACCTGGCTTGAAAGAGGGCTCATGGTTTGCTCCTAATCCTATCGACATAGGCGCAGTGTCTGCCTCCCAACATTAGACGCTGAAAACGGAGACAGGAAACAAGCAACGCCGCAAACATGAACGAAGACAACAGAAGAAACAAAGACAAAGATGATGGCGTTCGCGCTTGGTGAGGATATCCTAGAGAACTGGACGTGCTCTGACAGCATGTGCCCCACAACGTCTTTTCGTACTAGCCGCCCGCAGACGGGACAATCCTGCACACAGAGAGCCAGCAGACGTCAGCGCAACTGCTGGTGGGTCTCAGGAGCACACAGTTTACTGCTGGATACAACTCACTCAAAATCCTGCTCGTCCTTCTCAGCTCTATGCTTGAAAACGGGACGTACTGATTAGAAGATGGTTTTCTCTTCTGCTCACCGGGCAGGACCGCAAACGATAATTGAATCTCGCCTGCGGCCACAAAGTCAATCTAGGTACGAGGATAGTGGTCAGGACGTCACCAAGTGACGAGCCGGGATGAAGCTTCCCAACCATAGTTGTGCTACTTTTACTGAGAAGCCTGTGTCAAGACCCGGTTCCGCTGGTACTGACTGCCTAAAGCATGCAAGCTCAAGTAGGATAACGACCTGAAGCGCAGGGTACCCAAAGGGCTGCTCGGCTGCCCCCCTTGGAATCTTCCGGGGAGAGAACAGGCAAACTTGGATATCCACGGATGCTGGTTTGGTAATGACAGAGTCAAATGTTCCAAGGCGTTTGCCTTAGCTTCAAAAGGCGTTTCTCTGGAAAAAGAGGTAGATTCAAACTCCTCACCACTTCTTCCTCGAGCAGCTCTGGATGCTCCTCCTCCATGTGCGAGCACAGCGACGGCAAATCAAAGTCATCCTCGCACCCGGGGCACGGGTAATCATCCTCGCAGTCGCCCGCCTCCGCATCCTCCATCAAGACTATCCCCAGCTGACGCTCTGCACCGATAAGCAGGTGGAGAGATGGATAAGCTATTGCGGTGAGCATAGGTTACAGGGCCACAGGGTGGCAGGGTCACGAATTGCTTGTTCCAGTACTTGGGATTGATGCTGAGAGAGGCGGGGAGGTGAAGTTGAATTTCGAAGAGGATTCATGAAAAATACAAACAAATCATAGCATACTATCCGGGGTGATGCTGAGACAGAGTCGTAAAGCGGGGGGGTGACAATAAGTTGGAAAGTTTCAGAACCAAAGGAAACGATTCTGACCAAGAACTAGACCGGCACAGGGCTCCCAGTAACACGAGCAGCAAGTCCAGCAGTCTGAGGAGCCAAGAGAAGATGGGATAATCGAGAAGACTGTGAGGGTCATCTCTGCGATACCGGGAGTCCAGCCTGAAGTCCTGTTGTCAGGGACTGACAACGAGCCTGAAAGTTAGCCCTAAGCACGGCTAACTTGCGAGTCCTAGAACCCCTCCTTTGGCACCAATGACATGAGGAAATTTTCAGAATTTCAGTGCGTTCCATGAGAAGAATTAATCCAGAGAAATGAAATGGAGGGACTCTGCAGTTCCAAGTGGAACCGCAGTTGAGGCCCTTTGACGCATGAGGTTCTAGGAAGTGGTCGCCGTGCCAACAAAATTTCCCAAATAAAGGTGGCCTGACCCAAAGAAGAGTTTAGGAAAGGGGCATTGTCTTGCACTCCGGGTCTTCATGCCCAATCAGAAGCCAGCTAGTAATGATGGCCGCCAAATTCCGACACGTTCTCAAAACCCTAATCATTCTTTGGAAAAAGCTCCCAAAACACCGGCATAGACTACTGCAGTAACCTGAATCTACCAACCATATCCGTATCTTTCAAGAAAGAAAGTGTGGCAGCATTGCCCTCCTTCTAACTTCGACACATTCACAGACCCTGTGCTGTGGATGCGACATGCAACCCCCGAACGTCGTGTCAACAACCAATCCAATGGACGCCTTGGCATCCAACGGTAGGTATCTCGGGCTAAGGCAATCACAAGGTCTCTGTGATGACTCGTGAGGGTATGGTGTGTTAGAGTAAAGTCCTGACCAATGTTGTGGAGACAGTGCATGGAAGGAGCGTAGACGAAACTCTGCAGCTCTTTCTCAAACACGAACCTGACAGCATTGCCTACTAGGGTTTCAAGGGGGCATGAAATCGCATGGAAAGATACAACAATAGAACTTGCTTTCTACTTCGGGCATGCTGGCCGATACAAAACTCCAATGTCTCCAAGCTCAAGCACCCGCCAACCAGAAGATACTTCTGGAATTTCAGGGCCCGCATCAGATCTGTGCCGTAGAAATCTTACTCCTTCAGACACAGGTAGTCTACCAGCTAGGTCGAAGAACAGCTGCTAGTGTAAGAAAGCAAACCAGCACATTGTATAGACTTAACATCCAAGCAGAAGTTTCAACTCCTACACCATGCTCTACAAATATGCCACGGTGAAGAAGACATGATCAGGCAGATAAAAAGCAACTCAACACCTCAGGGAAAGCCACTGCCAGAAAGTATGTCTACCACGGCTTTAAGAACGGAATCAAGCATGACTTGGCACCAGCATGCATCACGCCGTTAAAGGATAACCTGGGTTCAGTACTTGCGCTGAATGAAAAGCAGAGTCTGGTGCAAAACTTAAATAGAACCTTTTATTATTAACGCTTCAACCTTATGAAGTGGAGCTGCAAGAAGAGGTCAAAGGCAGACGGCACAGGTCTCAATTTGCGAGTGGAGCAGGTTCAGACCAGAAAACTTCCACAGAGTGCAATCAAAGCATTGGGCTGGATACAACAGAATTGACAGCTTCAAAATGGTGAGGGTTGCAAGCTGACTTACCAAGATCTCCCGCGGTCCGGGAGTCTGTCTCTCTCAAGTGCTGCAGTATCTGCTCAAAATGCCTCTTCCCTCCTCCGACTCTGTTGCACAGCTCCGCTAAAGCCGCTTCGGCCGCAGCGCTCATTGCTTCAACCCTTAGCCCACCCCTTGTTGTTTGCTAGACTGTCCAATCAATCAAGTACAGACCGTGACGTCGCCTCACTTTTGCGAGCCCTTTCCAAGTTCTGCAAGCACCAGCCAACCAGGTTCACTTGATTTAAGGGCGGCCCTCTTGCAGGATGCCAAACTCGTATTCGTCTGCCGCACACTTTTCAAATTAAGTCTGCAGGCCACACAGGCAACTAAATAGCGACAAGAAGTGCTGCCTCAAGGCCCAAGGGGCATGCGTCCCGTAATCAGCACTCCAACGAAGCCTTTTGAACTTGTGAGAAGCACCAATCTCCAATGCGGGTGGATTGGTGCCTCAAGAATTTAGGGACGTGAATGTCAACGCTTTCATGCATTCTCGCCCCGATAGCAATCCCCGGGCAGACGACAAGTTTCTGCAAGCAGTGGCCAAGCCTGCATTTCATGAGCAACTCGGGCCGGGGATTGCCCTCTTCAAGCCACTGCCATTTTGACTGTGCAGTTTCGGACACTGCTGGACGGTGTGCCAGGTTTACAAAAAATCGTACGTCCTACGGATAAACCCGCCGCCCGCGGCTGCCGAGGCGCCCCGCCCGCGCGAGTGACCGCGCCAACCTATCGAGCGGGCCGGCGCGAGGTTACATTTCCACCTAACTTTCTCAGCCGTCCGATGGGCCGGGGTTTTCCTGCCGCCGTCGATCTGAGATTCGGCCGAAATGCAGTGGAAGTGCCCGGTACGTCCTCGCAACTCATAAGCTATGCACCGTCGGGACCCAGTTCGTGGCCTGCGGCACTGTTCGCAGCGAGCTCGCACAAGGAGCAGACCATTTGGTGGCGCCACGAGCGTGTCAGAGCGGCCGGGCTGGTTGGCGGAGGTGCATTTTGGCAGGAGGTGAGCAATGCGGCCTCTTGGTTTATCGCTTGGGGTTCAAGCTACTGAAAATGGCTCGCCGCAGCCCCGGGGTGGCAACTCCCAATTTTAAAACATGGCATCTGCGGATTAAAACAAGAGGTTTAGTCGTTTTGGAAACGTAAAACGCCTTTTTAAAACGGTTAAAAACTGTTCTAAAACGGTGGTAAAGGTCCAATTTGTATGTTTGTTCTTGTTTTTTCAGTGGCAATCGACTTGTCTGGATTCCGTATGCAGTTTAGAAGCGATTCTGCGTATATTACAAGGAGAAAACGGATCATATTAGGGGCTCGAATTGTCGACTTGTCTTGTTTTAATCCGGATTTGAAGCGTTTTAAAACGTTTTGTTGTTTTGTTTGTTTTATAAAACGGGCAATTTTGAGGTTCGCCTAACCCGCAGATACATGTATTAAGATTTTGGCGTTTTAAAATGTTTTAAAAGTGTTTTACTTTTTGTGGGGGGGGCCAAATTTCAAAACGAGTGGTGTTTTGAAAACTATAGACCAAGGGCTATACGAGGATATGAAACAAAACGTCGAGCTGATTTGTTTTGGGTCATTTTAGGAGAAAGGCAATTAGAAAACACCATCCATTTTAAAACTGGAGTTGCCACCCCGAGGCCGCAGCGCACAATGTGGCCAACCAACACTTTGTCCGTGCGTACCAAGAAACGCTGTCTTTCTTTCTAAAGAAGTAATTGGGCGTTTTGTGGTACACTCATTGTGCAGGGTATGGCTGGGCGGCCTCATCTAGCAATCCGACCATCCCTTTACACAATTAATCCGTGTGTACCAAGAAACGGTGTCTTACTTCTTAAGAATCTAAGTGGTCCTTTGTGGTACACTCTGAATCTTGCAGGGTATGGCTGGATATGGCAGGGCCCTGGCAGAGTCTGCGGCGAGGTCTGGCCGGCCCTGCTTATCAAGCACATTCTAGTGATTCGACCATTCAACACACAGTCCGCGCGTACAATCAACGATGTAGTAACTCTTCTTCATCTTATCAGCGTTTTGTGGTACACTCTGAGTTTTGCAGGGTTGGCTGGACGGCCGCCCCTTCCAACAGTCTGACCATCCAAAGCATGATCCGCGTGTACCAGGAAACGGTGTATTTCTTTTTAAGAATCTAATGGGCCCCTTTGTGGTACACCCATCGTGCGCGCAAGGTATGGTCGAGTTGCCCCATCCTGATCATCCTACTACCCACGATCCTGAGCGCGTACCAAGAAACGCTGTATCACTTCTTAAGAATCTAAGTCACTCTTTCTGTGGTACACCCATCTTGCAGGGTATGGCCGAGTTGCCCCTTCCAACAGTCTGACGATCAAACTTCATGATCCTGAGCGCGTACCAAGAAACGGTGTATTTCTTTCTAAAGAAGTAATTGGTCCTTTTGTGGTACGCCCATCTTGCAAGGTATATATGGTCGAGTTGCCCCATTCAGCAATCCGACAATCCAGCATACGACCAGCGCGTATACCAGGAAACGCTGTATTTCTTTCTAAAGAAGTAATTGGGCGTTTTGTGGTACACCGTACCCATTGTGCGGGGTATGGTCGGGTCGCCCATCAAGCGCACGTCCAGCCATCCCGCGTACATTTGGAGTGTACCAAGAAAAGGCGTATCACTTTTTAAGAATCTAAAGGGCTTTTTCTGGTACATCCCGCAGGGTGTGGCAACATTCACACAGCTGACGGTCTCCGATTCGCACTACTACGCTCAAGTTGTGGCATGCTTCCGAGAAGGGTCAACTCAGAAAGCTCTTGGAGGCGGAGTTCCTGGCCGATTTCAATATTTGATACTTCTTCGGAAAGCTCTTTGAATTTCGCATCTGTCAATGTTTCTACCGTAGCAAGTTCTGATGACGTCATCAGAGACAGATGACGTCACGGCTGACGGTCTCCGACTCGTACTGGCCGTTGTGCCAGGCTTTCGGGAAGGGTCAACTCAGAAAGCTCCCAAAGGCGGAGTTCCTGGCCGATCTTAGTGTTTGATACTTCTTCGGAAAGCTCTTTGAATTTCGCATCTTTCAAAGTTTCTACCGTAGCAAGTTCTGATGACGTCATCAGAGACAGATGACGTCACGGCTGACGGTCTCCCCACGGTCTCCAACTCGTACTAGCCGTCTAAGGGTCAACTCCGGAAGGCGGAGTCCAGTGCCGGGAATTCTGCCGGGGATGGCCAGAGAGCCGATCAAGCACGGTGTGGGCTCGTACCAGACCCACCAGAGAAGGGCGTGTTTCTCCTTAAGAATTCGGCCGCTTTTCAGAACTTACGGGTGATGGTTGGGCCGCTTTCAAATTTTGCGCGGCTTGGCTGACAGCCCATAGAAACCTCGTACCAAGAAAGGATGTATTCTTTCTTAAGAAGCTATTCGGCGTTTTCTGGTACCGTCTTGCATTTTGCGGGGGATGGCCGGCAACCGATCATGTGGGGTACCGGGTTGCTAGCCCATTCAAACCTGGTACCAGAACAAGGTGTATTCTTTCTTAAGAAGCTATTCGCCGTTTTCTGGTACATCTCCCATTCTGCGGGGTATGTCCGGCCCCAACTCCCGACCATCTAGCGCACAACCGAAGTCCAAAATGGCCGGCAACCGATCATGTGGGGTGCGGTCGGCGGCTAGCCCATACAAACCTGGTACCAGAAAAAGGTGTATTCTTTTTAAAGAACTTTATTCGGCGTTTTCTGGTACACCTCCCATTCTGCGGGGTATGGCCGGCCCCAACTTCCGACCATCTAGCGCACAATCGAAGTCCAAACTGTACAAGCTTTTCGAAAGACTTTTTGGGCGCCCGTTTTTGATGACGTCACCAGCCGTTGCTTGTCCAAGTGTCCGAGCATTTCATCGACTCTTAGGGCGCCCGCTTCTGATGACGTCAGCAGTTGTCGCTTGTCCAAGTTGTCCGAGCTTTTGGCAAAGTTTTTGGGCGACCAAGTCTGATGACGTCAGAAGCCGTCCCTTGTCCAAGTTGTCCGAGCTTTTCATAGACTTTCCGGGTGCCCGCTTCTGATGACGTCAGCAGTTGTCGCTTGTCCAAGTTGTCCGAGCTTTTGGCAAACTTTCTGGGCGCCCGCTTCTGATGACGTCAGCTGCCGTCGCTTGTCACCAAGTTGGCCGAGCTTTTGGCAAACTTTCTGGGCGCCCAATTCTGATGACGTCAGCAGTCAGGAGGGAGGAGGGAGGAGTTTCGTTTCAAAGCAGAGTCGCCCCTTTGAAGGGGTGCCGCAAAGACTTAGGGCCATCAAAACCGGCTCAATCTCAAAGCTTTCTCTCTGCTGTCAGGATGAATCACGAGACGGCGTGTCGTGACGAGAAAGAACCCTCCAGCTTCGTGCTCATCGCCTCGACCACCCCAGCGGCCGCTGCAAGCTTGCACGAGACTTTGAAGGCCGGTCAAGCCGTTAGGAGCTGCGCGGCAGTCCATTTCGAGGGCCCGTCTCCTGTCTTTAGCGACGTCAAGAGCGTCCCAGCTGCCGTGCCTCCCTTGCCAAATGCTGGGGGAATACGAGGAGGCCGCCCCTCCTATGCGGCCAAGCAGGGGGGCGCTGACTTCTTCTTCGACTACGGGCTGGCCTTCGCTCTGCGGCCTGCAGGGGCTTTTGCTCAAGGGGGGCTCGGTTCGACGTGCATCGGGCGCACGTGCGGCGGAAAGGGAGCGGTCTACACTCGAGGGTGCGATCCGTTCGTCTGGGAGCGGAAACGGAACCGGGGTGGGGCGATCATCTGCCGAGGCGGAGGCGGGCATCTTCTGTGCTTGCGGTGCGTAGAGGCGCAGTACGAGGAGGGGCGCCCCTTCGTTTCAAGTGCGAGTGGCTCCCCAGTTTCCCAAGAAGAGCTTCTCGCCAAGTACGAAGTGTTCCCCCGGACAAAAGAGCTTCGGCAGGTAGGGCCAGGAGAGGAGGCAAGCGAGGGCGGTCACCAATTCTTTGTGCAGAGGAGGGACCTTGCCGCCTGTCCGTATTGCCGCGAGCCCAAGGCAGTCGCTCCATCAAGGCGCGGAGTGAAGAGAGCGCTCGAAGTGAGGCCGAGCCCACTTGAGCTTGGCGCGGAGGCAATCCTCTCCGAGTTGGGCCGAAGCAGGATCCCTCCGATTGCGGTTGCTCCCGGCCTCTTTTTGGTCCCGCTTGTTGGGGGCTCGAACGGGCGCCTTTTGGACCTTTTGGTGACGGAGAGGGGGGTCTTGAACGCGCCGCGGCTCGTGAAGATCGATCACACGGGCAGCTTTCGGTGCCTGTGCGGTCAGAGGGCGTGCAGAGACCACGACATGGGGTTTTTGGGGGCAACGCGTCTCATGCGCAAAACGGAGAGGCCGAATTCACGGCCTTTGACGACAGCCGCCCGTTTGCGCGCGAGGTCACCGACGGCCTGCCTTGGATTTTGCCCCTCGAACAAGGGGGGTGCGTGGGAGGTGCTCTCTTTGGGCTGGATGCGGAGGCGTGGAAAGGGGGGGCGCAGCTCCGTGTGTTTGTCGTGAGCGATAGGGGCGAGCAGCCCGTGGTGTGCGTGTTGGCGGGAGAGACCGCGCATTGTAGCCACGTCGAGTGCTTGGGACCGGAGCGGTGCCCGCATCTTTCAAGGGTACTTGCAAAGGCAGAGGCAATCGTGAGCGAGCCTGCCGCAAATGGTGGCCAAGATGGGAAGCGGCCGACCCTCACCGAGAGGCGCGCGGAGAGGGTTTCGCAACGAGAAGCGAGGGCAAGGAACATTCTGGTTTGCAACAATCCCGCGTGTCGCCGGCAGGACTTCAAGGTCGCGTGCGCCCACCAGGCTTCTCTCGAGCCTTGGGAGTGCCTCTCTGCTGCGGCACTTGACATGGGCCACAGTCACAAGAGGATCGATACGGTCATGAGCCGAGGCGGGGCGATTGTCGCAAGCCTCTGCGAGCGCTGGGGCGAGGAGGGCGTGAGACGCCGCGATGAAGCGCAGCACTTTTGCGCTCCAAGGCCACGCGACCCTGTGGCTCCATGCGGCCGGCCGTGGAAGATCGAGAGTCGAAAGGGGTCGCTGACAACTGCTGGAGCACGCTTTGAGGTCACCACCTATCGGCGCGTCTGCCGCATCGCTCCTGGACGAGAGGCGGCATGCTGCTCGGTGGCCTACGACGGCCAGGTGAGTATCATCATCGAAGAGTCATCTACACTTCTGATTCTCTCTCCCCTGCAATCGCGCCACCCCTCTTTTACTCCTAGCTTCAAAGGCCTTTCTGTCTCAAACCTTGAGGTCCGTAATTTTCTTGAAGGGCTTTCGAAATCACGTCCCATTTGAGATAGTAACGTGCTTGATATGGTGGCTCAGGGCTCGGAACCCATGGCAAGCAAGTGAGATCACGCACTTTGTACTTGCGCCGAGCATCCATTGTGGTCAGGCAATCCAATCGATCATATCTGATTGTGATACAATCACGGCAGACAACTGCATTGACATGAGGTGGAAAAGGCCATTGAAAGCGGATATCACTCCGATTGCATATCGCACATCTTTGAATTGGGTATACTTTAGTGCACGAGTGCGGGCCTGGCGGAGGCATCTTTGTTGATCGTGGGTACTCGTGCACCCTTCTTCCAACATAAGCATGTGCATCTTTGCACGTAGATGCTGAAGCCGCCAAGTCTTGGAGATCAAGCTTTCCGTTCTCTCCAAGAATGCTCAACACCAACCCAAACTGCGCGTTTGATTTCATGCCAATATTTGACTCTTGATGATAGCCTTCAAATGAAGGAGACCATAATGAATGCAACATTGATTGACCTTCTTGATTGCTCCTTGGTTGCAGGAGGATGGCATCTTTAACTTCTCCGGAACGACCCTCATCTCCCATGGCCTCCTGCTGCGCAACCACTTTGCCGCGGCACTCGGCGCTTCACATAGCCTCAACTTTGAGGCGGGGGACATGGCCACGAGGTGCCTCGAGGGGTCGAGCGGCCCTAGGTTGGACGATCGGGTCTTTGACTCGGCGATGCAAGCCTTCAACGACCTCGCGGCGCGCTCGCGGATCCAGCACGTGTGCTCGCGCCCCGATTGCGTGCACCTCTACACGAGCGAGGTCGAGGCGGCCGAGGCGGAGGCTCGAATGGTTGGGACGCCTCTGAGAGTTGAGCGGACGGAGGGGCCCACCTCCGAGCTCGCGACCTACGCCTTTGGTCGAGAGAAGGTCATCACGTTCGATGGCACGTTCTTTGCCAACTCGAGTGCCATGCGCGACGACTCGGAGGCTTCGTTGCACAGCGTGTGCGAGCCCGACCCAGAGGCGCCTCGGGTGGCTGGCGGCTTCACTCCTCTGAGCATTGGCGGGGTGCGCCCTTCCGACGTGCCGCTAGAGGGGATCGACTACCCTTGGAAGCACCGCAACGGGCTGTCGGAGCTGCGGCCGGCCGTGCGAGCTCTCGCGTTGAGATGGTGCAACTTTCGGAAGGCTCCGGCCCAAGGGAGCAATGCGCCACTAAAGTCGGATGAGTTCGTCGCCATGCGCGAGGGGCTACCAGCGAACGTGAGAGCCTTGGTCGACCTCGTGACCGAGTCGGGTGGGTGTGCGGATCCAGCGGCGTGCGCGGTGTGCAAGGCGGTCCCGCGGCGGCCGTGGATGCAAGGCTTTCTCAAGGAGGGGGGCGTGGGGGCAACCGGCTGGTGCCTGACTCACTTCCAGCTGTAACGATTACGTCTGGTTAAGTCTAACCTCGTTCTCGTCAGGATTTCGTTAGCTGCTTGTTAGCGAAACGACAGCGGTTACGTCTTAACAG